TGAATAAAGAGGATTTTATTATCCAAAATAACGAGTAAAGAAGATTTTATATCAAAACCTAAATTCGACTCTGGATCTCCTTTGAATTTTGAATTTAAAAATTGGGAGCCTAACATACAAACTTTAAAATTTATTTAAATTATTGTTAAGTAAAGTTGAGTTTAAAGAAAATAAAAATATATTTATCGATATTCAATAGTTAAAAAAAAAATGGTTGAAGGATGGCGAATCGAAACTATCCGAATCGGAATTATATATACATGTAATATTTCAGAAAAGCTGAATATTCTCTTGCGCAAGAGCAACAGAATATTGTTAGAAATAAAAAATATCAAGAATAGATTAGATACTTTGGAAGAAAACTGTAACAATAATAACTATTTATTCCATAATGAGTACCACCAAGAAGCAAAGCAAGCTGGAAATTCAGAAAATCCATATAAGTTTCCAATAAATAACAGTTAGGCATTGGAGGAACTCGACAAAATGCTGGATAACAAGGAATTTTTTACGACCATTGTGAGAATAAAAAAACATTTGTTTATTTCTTTTCCAATTTCCATATTTTTTATATGCAGTGATGCGATAATATATACCCAGACAGCACATATGTCTAAAATCGAGACATAAGACATCATTAAGACGTCTTTTAGATACCGTGTCTGGGTAATCGTTGTCGTTTTTTGTTCAGGAAAGTAGTAGTTATCCAGATTTGGAGGAGTTGATCTTGACGAGGTGACAAAAACAATTCTTAAAAAAATGATTACAAATGATTTGGCGCAAGAATATAGCCTTAAAGGAATGAAGAAGAAAAGAAGCTTCGAAGACTTGACTAATGTTATGAATCTGATTATTAGTAAGTATTAGCTATTATTCATTTTGTGCATATATATGTACTTAGGGTAATATTTATATATTGTAATATTTATATATAGGTGCAGTTCGATGTCACCAACGAAATGCCACGGATACTAATATTATGAAAATAATCGGAAATTGGCTTGTCAACAGTGCTGCAAGATCGAGCATCCTGCAACAGAGCAACATGAGGGGAACGGTCCCCACCATGCGGACACTACACAAGCGAGAACCGCACGTCACGCGTCCGTGTGCGCACGCGTCAGCGTAGCATGCTATTTGTCACTTCCCTAGCCCGCGAAAAATGCTACGTACAAAAAATGCTAAGAAGCCAAGCGTTTTTAATCGAGTAAGGCGAATCGCTTGAATAATAAAGATTCCGTCTTCTAGACCTGTATCTT